ACCGTACATTGGAAGACTGTTCTCCTTCTCGAAGCCTTGCCCTGAACCCCCCTCCCCCCGTTTCAGGACCACTTTGCCGACAGAACGCAGAAGACGCAGGTCCTGTGTGTTGCGTTGATGTCTTGCGTTCCGTACGGCCTTCCATGATTCACGCGAGGACAGAAGTTCTACTGCTGACGAGGGTGTAAAAATTCTGCCACCTGGAAAGCCTGAATAAGGTGAAAAATGGGACTTTTGTAAAATTTTGCGAGCGATGGGCATTTTAGCGCATCCCAGAGCGGAAATTAGCCTTACAGGACGTCCAGTGATCAGGTCACGGGATATGCTCGTCCAGTTGTGTCCCGTGGCTCAATCCAAAGTGTTGCATAACCGAGTACCGTTTTACAACTACCATTAGGTCTGTATGCCACAGTGTGTCCGAGGCCACAGAACGCATTGCGTCAGAGCTAGGCGTGGGCATCGCTCATCATCCGGCGGCTACCACGCATAGCAGGATCATGAAAATGAAGGATCGGCTGGACGCAGGTGAGCAGTCGGACGAAGTCTATCAAATCCCGTGTCATAACTGTCCTTGCCACTACACAGGCCAAACAGGACGACGTCTCATCTCACGAATACTTGAGCGCAAACGGGTCGTTCGAAGAGGCGACCCACTATCTCAAGTCGTCACTCACACGCTGGAGGAAGGCCATGAGTTCGACTTCGTCAACACGCGGATATTGGCGCGAGCCGGCTACAAGACGGGGCGAGAACTGTTGGAGGCGTGGGTGTCGGACACCAACTCTATCAATTGACACATTGATTTGCCTGCGTGTTATCACGCACTCCGCCCACGCAGCCAGGTGGCGCAGCTCACATCGCCACGAAGTACAAACGGCGTCACCACACCGGGGGACCATTGTGGACCAGGCGGTACAAAACAGACATAGCCACGGACGTAGTCCCCCCCCCCCTCCGGCACGGATCAGCGATATAAATGTTCTCACGTTGCTGCAATCTAGAAGTTTCTGATGATGAACTCCAGTTCGAGTTCGAAAGCTAAGGCCAATAAATCTACCGTCCCAGTGATCGTACCTTCGTCTTCTTATAAACAGCTCTGGACTGTCCGCCTACGTATTGCAATCATCACCGGCTGCACCCTGTTTTCGTGACTGTTACCAGCGACGGCCTATTCCACCCTGTTGACACACCGGTGTTTGCATTTCGAGTATTGACTCTCCTGTGCTTGCGTGTTCGTCTCGTGTTACGGTTTCGCTTCGATACGCCGCGCCCTTTGGCAGCAATTCCGCTGCATCTGCATTTTCGGTTGTGTCTTGTTTATCTGCCACACGCACTATCGCCCGCTTCTCCACGTGATGACTAAGTTGAGGTAGACAGCGAGAGAGAGAACTGGCCGCGCTTGACCTTGGTCGCTTGCGTCTCCACTGGCAACCACTCGGCCGCTGTCAGGGCATGCGTGCCTGCCTCAACCGGTTTTCCGCTCATCTTTTACGCTGCCTTTCCTTACGTCCCTGCCTGTATTCCTCTCACTCCCTGAAACCACCCCATTTGCATGCACCTCGTTGTGGTCCGTTCGTTTTTTACCTAGCTGCATTCCCCGCCCTTGTTTTGGTCTTACGGTTTTCCAGTTTCTTCACTGCATCCTTAAAATGAACCGAGAGGTGTGTGTGTGGGCACATCACTCCTTAGCACTGCGCAGCCCAATGTTACGGGTTCTCTGTGAAGCTCTCACCATCCACCACCGGCAGCTGTGGTATCCAGTTCATCGTTCTGGTTGACGATGGAGTCGACAAGGTTAAAAAGTTGGCCTACCCTAATGGACTAATTTTACGAAACGCCTATTTATCCTCCGGTTGACCCAATTGGCTAAATCCAGCCAATAGCTGAGCCCGACTAAGCTCTCATGTCAACTGCGTGCGTCGCACTCTTTACTGATACTTCTCCCCCCCTCTCTCTCTCAACCAGGAAGGCGACGTCCCGGATTGTTGTCTCCTGCTAGCGCTTTGAAGTTTTTTCCCTCTGAAGTGTGCCGCTGATAGCTGCACCTGTTGAGGTATATTTATGTAGACAGGTAGATCGTCCAGGGGCTGACTTTTCGATGAAACCCCGCCCCAGGTACCAGTTCATAGTCCTGCCGCAAGCCTTCTCTGTTGGCGCGATGTTTTTAGACTGGCTGGTGTTGTCTATCGAACGTTTTGTCAGATTCCCATTCTGTCTGCCGTCTTGGTTTCGAGAAAGAAGACTGCTGTCGTCCTTTAAGTAAAAATCGTTTCTAGGGAAAACTGATGCCTTATTCGTTTGCAATTTAGAATCCTTCCAACCACCCTCATTAACTTAACATAGAGAGGCGATTTAGGTAGTAAATATTTTTCTGCTAGTCTCGGATGCTTGTGTAGAATTAAATATTTTTAAACAAAGATTCTGGCGGGGCATTCGGTTATTGTAGTCCTTTTAGCAAGTTCCATCACCGAATTCACTCTTCGAAAGTATTTAGTATCTCAGTATTTAGAAATACAGTAGGCTAATATGTCTTCGAAGACGACCTGCCTTTTGTTTGTTTCGGTTTTTTAGTACAATTGTCATTTTTTTCCGAGAACTTATTGTTTCTTCTTTTGTTGTAAGTAGTACAAACAAAATATTTACCAATATGTAGAATAGTTTACTTCCCGTCGTAAGCAGATGCAATAAATCGGAAAATATTTGACGTATTTCCAACCGATGATCTCACTCCCAGCACATATCATATTTTGCAAGTGCACTTTCCGTCGAACTTATTTTTTTGATATATCTGAGAAGAAGTAATTCAGTTTAAAATCGCCTGGAGAGGAAATTCGCCGATCTAAATAAAGACGTCCTGTTCCATCCGTTAGATACCCATTTACTTTCATGGAAAGCTCCATCTTATGCACAGTACAACTCTCCTCGTTGGGCAGCATCTCTGTAGCAGAGATGTTTTCTTCAATTAATCGATCACCTGATCCACCGTTACCCACTTTCACTTCCAACTCACACTTTATTGAAAAAACTGCTCCTTTGTCCTTTCATTGCCTAAGTTATATTCTGAATTGATGTGGCCCTTCTCGCGATAATTCTGATGCCATGTAGGAAAAGACAATGCGCCTCACAAATGCAATTGTTCGGACGACTTTTTGTAAATCTGTTAAGTCCCCTTACCCGTTTGGGCTTTATGATGAGTTTTCCATATTGAATTCCTGCTTTTTTCGGCTCCAAACTTTCAGTTCTTCGTACCATTCCGTACGTTCTCATGGTACCCCTACTTCAAACACTGCATCGTGATCGGTCTCTTCGTGTCTTTCGTTGGTCCCTTTGGTGGATTCTTCGCCAGCGGTTTCAAACGGGCGTTTCGCATCAAGGACTTCGGTGATGTCATTCCCGGTCATGGAGGTATAATGGATCGCTTTGACTGTCAGATCATTACCGGGTGGTTTGTCTTCATATACTACAATTCCTTTGTCAAGTGAGTGCCTCGCATGTTTATATTATTTGACTAAACGTGTCCTACTATCTATCAATCAGTAACCATTATTGTTACTTTTATATAGACCTGCCAGCACGGGATCCCTTCTACAGCAGATTTTCGTCCTGCCGCACCATGAACAGTTGGCTTTTCTGGCAACCTTTGTCGACGGCCTCACCCGCCGCGGCGTTCTCCCCGCTACCTTGTCTCAGCCAATCCTAGACTTCGCTGAAGAGGCCAGGAAATCGGCTGCGATGGCCAGCTCACCCACTGACGACCTGCCGGCCACACCTTAGCTCGACGCGCTATCCGGCTGTTTTTGTCACCTTTAAGGATCCATTCGCCCCCCGCTTTATTCAAAGGCCCTAGCATTAGTGCTTAAGTGGGGACAGACACTTGCTGCCTCTACGTGAGGTTTGCCAGCGCCCTTTGTGATTGCTGTGCGTCGTAACCAGACTGCGTATTCGTCAGCAGATCTGGAGTTGATTTCCGTCTGTGTTGGTTACTTTTTCGCTTGTTCTCTACCCAATATTCTTACCATCGCTGTTTTTGCCGCTCCCCGCTTGTTGTTGTGGAGTCTGAGACTAAATAAATTTATGGCTGCATATTACCAATGAAAGACGTCAATGTCTCCCGTCCTGACTCCCTACCCGCCTCTTCACCATTAAAATGACTTTAATTTGTGTTTCTGTTTGTTTTGGAGAGCCATCAGCACTCGCAAAAGTGCACAGCTGGTGTTAGTTGTGTCTGCAGCAACCTGACTTTGCTCATGCAGTGTTTTGGAACCCTGTCTCATGTCATTTTCGATGTTGTTTATACGTTCGCTCAAATCGGACCTGCATTCCTTTGGAAATCTTTCTACCAAAGATCGCTTAATCGAGCCTGCGTTCCCTCGGAAATTTTTCTGCCAAATATGCCGACTTCCGAGGGCCCAGTCTTCAGGCAGGTAGATGACGTCGATCAAACATGCTTAGTACACACTCCTCACGCAAGTATTAATTACAAAGTGAGCCTAGTAGTCATCTTGTGGATTCCAGGTGGATAGCTTGGGCAGTCAGCTCTACTATATCAGATTTGATAGATTCCAAACGTTGCAGAAGGTTGGGCGGATAACTTGACTGAAGCTTACGGCTCCCGGCGAGGCCTCATTGCTCAGGTGGCTGGGACAGTGGCTGTACTCAAGCCTTCCCCTTGCTGTCGTGGGTTCGAATCCCGTCGAGGTCACCGAGTTTTTCACGCTTGGGTCAGCATGGATGCTGAGGAGTACCTCGTCGCGTCTTATGTACCACCGACTATTAATTGGGCTGACATTTTATCGCCTTCATTGACAATCTTATGTTATTTGCCATGAACTTCACGTTTGTGACGAGGCTCGAGTGGCTGATTTTGGTCTAATGGCCCCTTTCAGATTAGAGGAATATGGGCAGACAGGCTGATAGTGTCTTTATGTAGACATCTGCGGGTGTTACACAGAGTCCAGTTGTAGCAAATATTTGATGATTGAGCTGCGGTCCCGGAGGCCTCAAATTGCTGCTCTTTCCGATGGCCGATTCATTGCTCTCCAGTCTCTCTGCCACTGTCGCATCTCCTGGACCTCCTCCATACGTCGGACCTGTGGTAGATATGAATGGGTTTAACGAACTTTCGTCGCGGTTTATACGAATAAACGACACCCAGCCTCTACCTACGGGTGGTAGTAGTAGTACTACCACTAGGGTGGTGGTGTTGTTGTTTAGAGAATGGAATAACCAACCAACCACGCCACAAATCGACGCTTGCATGTCCGAAATAATTGGAAGCGTTGAGAATGGAAACGAGGGAAGAGGGAAGATTCATAAGTAGCAATTAAATTAGGATAGGGAAAGAGGCACTTACCATGTAACCACGCCAATGACTCTGAAGGACGGTGGCGGCCTCCGCGGAGGTCCACTGCCAACTGAGAGGCAGGGGCGCCCGGGGATTTGTCTTCCAGTGTTCAGCTACCCAGGGTATTTCACCCAGTTGGTTAATCTGCGTCGTCCCGTAACGCCGAGGGTTCCGTGCATAGAGATTCAGAGTGATGAAATCGAGCCCATTGAATGCAAAGTGCGGACGCTACAATAGTTGATTTTAAAGAGGAATTGTTTGATATGCCGCTCCTCTAGTGAAAGGGAGAGTATTCCTAAACTTGTTACGTTCTTCCCTTTGTAGGCCTAATCCCGCCCTCAGAAAATCGTTCCTGGGAGCCATCTGCGAACATCTTTACCACTGCTCTATGGGAACCCTTCTGTCGTTCGCCCGGTCGTTGTACATGACTCGCATCCATAGTGGTTTGCCAAAACTTACCCTCTCGCCTGGCACTGACCAGATTTTCGTAGACAGTCGACCAGCTGAGTGACGGATTCAACGGCTATTTGGACCGCAGGGCACCCTGGTGTTGTTTTTCATCAACCGGTCTACGCTTTCATTGGGTTTCTCGCTCACCTGAAAACCCAGAATATACGGCCGGGTGCAAGGATCCTAGGGTCAGATTTATTCAAAGGCCCAAGAAGAGGGCGTCGCTCTCACTGCCTCCAGGACCTGTCAGATGTAACCCATGTTTCACTGCCCTCAGCAAAACCGCCACTCAGAGTCAAGTATAACCTCAGGGGCGTCCTTTAAATGGAAATGCGCGATGGAGGTCCGACTGAGTCGTCAAGGAGCGATCACGCATATTGTACTCAACGGACATTGGCTGAGTTACGAAGATCCCCAGGAGTTTTCTCCTTGCCTTGTATGCGTGCCCTCCTTGAACATTCTCGATTGGGAAACAACTGTGAAGACTTCTATTTGCGCTCGGGTGGGGAGTAAGAGAGAGTCCGGCAGATGTTGCACAAGTCACCGCACTTGCTCTCATTCTGCTATGGAGCACACGGTGGACATCTTCGGATGGGTAAAACTACTCCAAGGCGATCAAACTCGCGGCTCCAGTTGGAGTTTTGCGGCTCAATCGATCAAAAGTTTGGTTGTGATTAATTCACGCCCGTTCCCACTCATCAAGAAATAAATCATCGAGACAAGTAATATGCTCCCAAAATGCATTCCTACCTCAAAACATTCGCGTCTCGCCGCTTCTTCTAGCATTTCCGTAAGGATAGGCAGGAGTATAGGATAAATCCTGGTTTTGACATATTCAACTGGAGGCAGCTCTGCATCTCCTAAAAAAAACAAATGGATTATTTTTTCTGATTTAGTTAGCCCATCATAAGCCAAGGAGATATTGCCAAAATCTGTTGTCATACCTGCTTCTTCGTTTTTAATTACTACGTCATCTTTGTCGTTGAGTTCAGAGACACCGATTGATGAAATGCCATTTATTGAGTTTGTAAGCTCATTTTCCCTAGCCCGACAGATTTTCGTGATGTCTTTTAGTGGAATACAATTTATAGGGGTCTTCTCGTCCGAATTATCGGATTCCGACACACTTTTCATCTGATAACTTTTTGTATTCTCCGGGTTTGCATCTAAAAGAGGTTTCTAAAAACAACAGTCGTAAATTAAGATTTTCTATCGCAACCGTAGCAACATGTAAGAGCTCAAGACCTGACTTTCCGTTGTCTTTCATCAACAACAGTTTCAGTGGGGAGTTACACTATAAACGTGGGACTAGGTTTCCAGGCCTAACGCATAAGTGGATTCTTCTTAAAACTGGATGTCAGCATTTTAATACAATTCAACGTTTTGATCTTAGAGTATTTAAAAGTAACTTGTAAGGACTTCACGGGGAAACTACTTATGACGAGTGCGCAACAAACATTCCTAAATTCTACCCCTTGTGTCGTTCCTGACATTACATAGGTATAGGAACCTTTAATGTTTTGCCACAATATTTCCTTTTTCGCGAGATTTCTGGTTTTTGTTATTGCATCACAGTGTTCTGAATCATTCAGTTCGGATCTTAAAAAGACGAGAGGGGTTTGAGTAATATGTTTCCCCCAACCCTGCTAGCACTAGCCACGTGTGGCCCCGCCTAGTCCCCGGAGCCAGACGGGGCGGGGCTACGGCGGGGCTAGGGACGCGATAGCCCCGTCTGGCCCCGTCCTCGAAAAAAACACGCAGGGGGACGCCACGCTCTCCGTGATATTAACCCCTCATTTACGTTCCCAGTATTATCCTTTTCCTAGTTCTCCGCACACTTATAACCCTTACCTTTGTTAGGTATTGTCCACCCTCTAAATATAGTGATAGGCGCTCAAACATGTCACGAGGTCTACATGAACGAGGTCAGTGGACAACAAATATTGGCATATGGTAGTTTATTGAACATATAAAATTTAAAAAAATAGAGTAGTGTGTACAAGGGACATATGAGATACGAATATGTTCTGGTTAGTCAATTAAACGGCATTTTAAATTTTGCAGCAAGGCAGTCGAAAATATTAATATCGATCTATGTTTATATTTGCGACTGGCTTATTTTATCACACATTTTCAGTGACCATTAGATTTATCTTTGGACTGAAATAACTTCCACAAAAATACATTTTTGCCTTGTTGCGAAATTGAAATGCGCGATATTAGATTTTTATTTCGTAATGCAAATCAAAATCGTTAAATACCTTTTCCATCAGTCAGCACAAGCTAGTTGCACTACTGCTGGCAATTGTTGCGCAAAATCGTTTTGTTACTTAATAGTTAATTTGTGTTCTACACCTGTAGAGATCACTACCTTTGTGTGTGCTAACTCCTATTTTGAAAGTGTGCTGGTAAACAAACTCAGAATTAATAAGTAGATGGGACAGTAAAACAAATAATAGTGAGGCTTCTCAGCATTGGCAGCTCAAAATCAGATGACTCGTTGGTAATTCGTTAACGAGTCAAGACCTCTACTAGAATGCATATGGACGTCTTTTCCAGAACTCGTGGGACCGAATTTTTAGTCACTGTCCCTTTATTATTCAATTTTCTACAAACATTAGTGGAATGCAGACCCTCTGGCTTCGGTCTCATTTACTGCATGCCACGTCGGTTGTTTTTTGATTGCTATTCGGAGGCATTTAAGTGTGGGGAAAATGGGATACTTCAGTTTTGGTTATAAGTTTACACTTCTCATAGTAACACCACTTTCGAATTCGTATTATCAGTAGAGTGCATTGTGGTGTTTGGGATAACTTTTTATAGTCTGACCTTTGGATAAAATATATAACTGTTTTTTGCCAACGATTGTCATGCCTTCTCAACGTTTGGGGCAGTGAGAGTCGACGATGCCCTTTACATGGCATATAGTTTTTGGTCTCGTTACTTCTTGCCTGGCGTCCATGTCCACTTGTCAGGGGCAAAGTTAGCAGATTATGACCCCGGGCTCGGATTTTACCTTTGGAGTCCTGAATAATATAATATATACTCGCAAATCTTTTCATCTATTCAACACTTAGGTAGGCACTGGTGCACCTATCACAAGATTTTTCGGGAAGGATTACGGCCACGAAGGGGAATGAAAGACACGGTATATGTTGCCGAGAGAAAGTGGGAGTTAAATAGCATCAGAAAAAAATCGTTGTGCGAAAATCGAATTATTAACCTTGTTACAGGCAGTAAATGAAACTTCAACAAACAGGTCGTTAATGCCGTTTAACAAAACTTCAATTCCCACTTTCTATTTTCCCTTACTTTGCCTTTGCTCACCTCACCGTCCTTCCAGCAGACTAACAGAATTGGCAAAACGGCCGTAGGACCCATCCGAAATTTTTTCCGCTCTTTTGTGACTTGTAATGATACTTTCTTAGGGGTTCACTTTTACAGACTTCGCTTACGGCACTTTAGTTCTGGACATCTCTACATTTTACACTCTTGACATCATGCTTGCTTAGACCATAAAAACTTTCTGTGGAATGTGGCAAATGCAGCAACGAGTAGTGTGCTGTTTTACCTGCAGCTATTTTTTAATTGTATCAGGAGGGGTGTAGTACGCCGGGACAGTGGATTTGTGAAATATTCACGTGGGATGTTATTTACCACTACAGCTCTTTTAAAAGTCAAATACGATAATCTTCGTTAGTCGTTATTACTTGAGGAAGAATTTCCTACGATTTTCATGCAATCCATTCAGAGTAATTTAAATATCCTACCGCCTAATCCAATCACGTTACGTTCTCATTTTTGTCTCTATCCAAAACTTAACAGCTGCTTTGGTTGTTGTGATCCAACTCACTAATAGACATAAACTTATGGATGACGTTGCATCCCATTGCTCAGGGCGCGCAGAAAGGCGAAGACTGCCACGTGCTACTGAGGCAGTTTCGCGGTGTGCTCGCGCATGTAGTCGACATCACTAGAATTTGGACAAATAAGGCCATATTTAAGAAAGAAAGCTCTGTAAACTATTTTAATCCCTTCGCGAACAGACTAGCAAATGGTTGGAGGTAGCTACATTTCCTTGTTAAGGCCACATCGGAGCTCCACTCAATTTATATACCTACTATCTTCTATAACCAAACTGATCTTGTCTGATTTGGAATTTTTTCAATGGGCCATTGTCATCTTTATTAATTGATTGTAGACCAAATTCAACTGTACAAAATAATTAACTGCACTTAGAAAATGTCACAAATAGCAGACAGGAGGCCATACTTTTTGGAGCTTTCTGGGTACGTTGGCTGATCGAGGTAAATCTTTAATGGGCACAGAAGTGGACTCATGTAACGCGAAGGCAGTTAACTGCGCACCGGCTAGTTATATAGTTCATTGTTTTCAGTTCCGAAAATGTCTCAAAATAGCAGCTGCTCAGTCGTCTGTATACCGCTGTCTCATCTCATAACAGGTAATCACATTTTCATTCCTCCATCCACCTTTTAGTAAGGTTGATCGTTTCGCGCTCCTCTGTGTATACACCCGACCCATAAAATTGTCTATACGATATAAACCTGTTTAGTTAAACCGAATACTCGACATTTACAATTTGGATTCTGAGAAAGTTCTAGTCATACAAGTAGTGTGAGAAACTGCTCGGTACGATACCCTAGTGCATCTAGTCAGTATATCGCGCAATCCGTGTGTCGGCAGGGCGCTTATTTCGCTTGAATTTCTTACATAGATTGGATGTTGATTGGATGATATAAACTTGAACTTGGTTTAGATGCTACTTGGCCTTACAATTATATCTGGAAAGTAGAGATCATAAAGGGTGGCTTCCATCTAAAATAAACGGACTAAGATGGGCAGATGAGAGCAGAGTGGACGTTTTCATACGTGACGCCGCCGGTCATAGAACGCATTGACTTTTTAAGGGAGAATAGTTTTTTGCGAAATCACTGGCTGTTACGTTAAGCATTACATCAATCGTCTCGAGCCAACATTCAAACCTCCCGAATAACCGCAATATGCGACAAGTATATCCGTTCCAATGTTAAAGAACATATACTATCGTTAAAATATAATACTGTCGGTGGACTTGAACGACCCAGTACCGATGCTCTGTCCGCGATCGGAAAACACACTCAGACGGCAACTTCACCAGTTGATACATCAAAAGTTGCTCATCCAACATGTTAATGTATGCATGTGAGTCACTGGTGGTCAACGGCGAACCTTTCGATAGTTCTCTTTATTAGAAGCAAAATCAGTACTCTCGTCTTGCGCTCTCACGCGTCTCATCTTATAATGATCACAGAGCTTAAACTTTGTAATAACACCGCTTCCGCTGTCCGAATTTTATGCAGTTGCACGGTGTAATAACTTCATGTGTAATTAATCTAAAATGAGAGGGAAGTTAAAGTAAATAGGCTACGAGGTACTCAGGTTCGATCACACAGTCTCTGGAGTCTTTCGCAAAAATCATATGCGATACGCGAGAGAGCGTTTTTGCAAAATAAGAGAAGATCCCTCGTCCCAGGGCGTCCTCAAATTCACTAGTAGGCTTTAAGTTATGGAGATGAGTAAGCAGTAGCAAACCTCTCCACGCATGAACAATTTGCCGAAAAGGACATAAAATGATCGTGATGATTTATGACTTTATGGAGAAAAACTTCGTAGCCCATGAGATAGGAATGGGTACGAGTACGATTGGACGATTATGTTAATGGGAGTTCATGACTAGCGAACCCGGAACCGTGTCATGATAAGGTGGGGCGTCAATTGATAGTTGCCAGTCACGACACCAGCGCATACGATACCTACGATAATAATACAAACGACTTCCGATATTCGTGGGAGTTAGAGACCACAGCGGCCCACGAGTTACTAGGGCTCGCAAGTACTGCACACCTTTTAAAAACGCTTATAATTCACCCATTTTAATGCTCCAACACAAAATATGCCTTACACAACCATCCCAAAACACACTTATGTTATTTCAAACTCATCTTACATCATTGCCTTTAAATCGAAATGGCTAACAGCAATGCGTAAGTTTTCCTTTCCTTTAACATTTGCAGGAACATTATCGTCTCTTAGAACGTCATGACCTTCTTTTGGCGCTTAGAGTCCTTGCTGGAAGCCTTGGGAAAGGCAGGCCGTTTGGAAATAATCTTAGGTCACAATTATACAAGGGACAGAGGTACGCAAAGCATACAGATACATAGTGGGACATTAGAACGGGAGAGGTCTACGCGGTAAACTGGCAGATATGCCCGCCGTCACTGCACATATCCACAAGACAAAGTCTTGGGAGTACGGCCAGTCAGCGCTAAGAAAAATGAGTGGAGTTCTTACAGTGGATGCTTTGAAAACGCCAATCAATGGCATCCCAAGTAGCATTGCGTCTTGGTACTTCAGTATCAAGAGCTGAGTGTTCTTTCCTGAGAGCTTTATGTTTGAAATTTTTGTATAGTTTGTCGGAGGTTTTTTAAGCAAAGAAATTACTGGTATTTCTCCGTGTCTACATTAACATTTATATTTGAAAATCAGTAAATTATTCTTCACATAAAAATGTGTTTAGTTAGTGAAATATAAGAAGACAATAAGGGAACATTTTAGGTGTGCTCTACGAAGAGAAGAAATTCCACTACTAGGCGAAAGTCAACTATAACCAAATTGGGAGTTTCGAGAAGAAAGAGTGAATTCTAAGCGATGTGGTGAAAAAACTCGCGTGAATTTGGGGACGCGAGTAAGATTTGAGGAAATCCCATATCAATGTGGAATATTCAGGAAAAAAACTGCCTCACGAAGGGTTATGGAGGAGCGGGGTAAATTCAGTCTGAGTTTAAGGTGCAAAAATAAGGGCAGAAAGGAGTGAGACCGACAATGGAAGTGAGGTCACCACAGTCCAGTGGTCAGAACAAAATCCTGATGAGGCGGGCGGCGAATTAAGCTGTGCAGACGCAGCCTTAAAACTCCCTCCTGTTTCGAATGGGGTACTTTGGGTTAATACGTTGAGCTCTCTTATACTGATCACGTAGATACACGACTTGTCGTTCAAACCAACACCAACAAATGCGTCTGTGTATGCAGACGATTTTAGAGTGACGAAAACCGTTTTGTTTTAGCGTGTTGAAAATGTCCATAGAAGTGACAACTAATGTCGTCACTTTGTAGCACACTCTCTCAGTTTCTTTTCTGCACACCAACTATTAGTCCTTTTCTCACCTTCTATAATGTGCCTCAAAGATGCTCCCTACACGCAGTCGGCAAA